GGGGGGGGGGGGAGGTAGTAACTGAGTGTGCAATTACTTTATTGTTATTTTTTGCAGCCAGAAGACCCCTTTTTACGCTCCTGGGGGTCATTAGAAGGTGTGTGAATCAGTCCACTCAGAGAACACCATGGGCGATGCATCTTTGAAAAGATGGCAGTCAAAACACACCATCGAAACACTCGTTTACAGTAAAAAAAACATGCCATTGAAAAGATCACTTACTGTCAAGAACTGCCATGGGTTGACAGGCCGCAGGCTCTTATTGAGTTCCCCAAACAAATTCTTCAACGATAATGCCAACCTGTGCGATGCATCCTGCTCAATGCCTGAGGCAGACGAATACCTGTACATGGACATATGGTGTAAACATGGCAAACTCCAAGCTAGTCAGTTCTATAAATGAATAATAAAAATAGAAAAGACCTTTTTACTCGGCAGAGAGTCAGAGTTCAAATAAACAAACTTTTTACTTGGCAGAGAATCAGGGTTCACACAGTATGAACTATTCATTTCTTTTTTCCCTTTTTTACATGTGAACTATTCATTTCATTCGCACTCATTGTTGAAGTCTGGCGGCCTGCAGACAACGAAACTAGCTACCTACCTACAGACAGACTGATTTCAGAGCATCAACTTGTCCAGACCAACGATATTATATAGCAGAGCACATAACACCCCAACTTCACAGCAGCCATCAGAAATGGCATAAAACAATACACCATATGAGCAGATAGAGGGCATTTATTCCACTGAGAAACCAAACAAAGCTTTTGCCCCTTTTGCCTCAACACTGACACATCCCATTGAAGATGCCACATCACAACTTACAGACAAAAAGGTTATGGTAAGGCCAAGAGAGAGAGAGAGTGGCAAAGAGAGGGAGAGGGAAGGAGAGAGAGAGAGAGAGTGGGAAAGCAAAATCACCCAACCTCTTTTGCTGAATGGAACATGGCGACAGAATCAGCTGGATACCATGATGATGTTTTGAGCTCCCTCCTTGACAAACAAAAGAAAAAAAAGAAAAAAAAAGGGAAGAGAGATCGGGGAGAACAAGACTTCAGACACAGATTTAAGGTTGCTAAAGAATTTCCGACGGAATGTTCCCAGCAATGAGCACCTGAACGTTTCCCAGCTGTGCGCACATTGTAAACACACATGCTGTCTGACCATAACAAGAGACGTTCCTTCTTGGTTTTCCTCTTTTCCCCCTTAATTGGACCATTTTCTCAATTTGCATGTGTCATCCTTGAACGTGCAGGGCCCATGCTAATCTCTCTGTATCGTTTCAATTTTCACAGCTATGGCAGTCCCGAAGGAGTCGGAAGGAAATCTAAAATAAAAACATTCTGCATCGTCTGATCCGACTCGAAACTGAGTTGGCTAGCAATTCTAAGTGTGCGGCACCTCAAGAGACATCATCTACAACTCAGCTTCTCAATGGTAACTATCTTGTCTCACCCCTATCAACGATGTTGTATGCTAAACGAAACAGAAAACTCGGGCTCAAATGTGACAGCATCCTTTTCTTTTTATTATTCTTCTTTAAAAAAAAGGAGCTTAGCCCCCCCTACCTACCCTTGTTGCACCCTACTATCATCCATCAAGGTTCAAACTCCTCATCTGTTTATTTTCAGTTCCAAATTGGCAGCAGTCTTCCACAGGGCAGGTGAAAGTGCTGTAACATCCTTTCGTAGACATAACATCCAAACTAACCTGATGTCACCCTTTCTTTTTTTTTCTTTTTTTTTCTTTCTCTTTTTTTTTTTGTTTTAAACCACTAGTACCTCCGCCAGTGTTGGGAAGTTACGAGTTTTCGTCAGTTCCCGAAGAAATCGGGGGTGGGACACAAGGTTGGCAATGTCCCATAAATCTGAGTTTTGTAGTGCCTGCGAGTGAAAGGACAAGGGAAAAGAAGAAAATGCTTTCTCTATTGCAATGATGCCGGGCAGTGTGGCATTCTGACACCACACGGGCCCCTGTTAGGGCCCGGTCCCGTAGTTAGGCTAGTTTAGAACTAGGGTCAGAGGTCACGTCGGTTCAGACCCATAGGTCGGCTCAGAGGCCGAGTAGGCCAACGGTCACAAGCGCCAGGCCGGTACCGGTCCAACTCTAGGACCTACTGGCGGCGCAGTTTTGAAGGCAGCCAGGTTTAGGCGCCACTTTCAGATTTCAGTTTCGGATCTGAACCATTGGGGCCGATCAACGGTCCAGACCTGAAGGTACCAGCAGCGTTGAGGCCGGCCCCAGCGCTACATCAGCTGGGTACCAGCCTCAGTAGGAAGGTTAGTAAAGCGTTTCGTTTAGCACAGCGGGGCAGCGAGGAGGATTAGCGCAGCAGGGAGAAGGATTAGCGCAGCAGCGATTAGCGCCGGCCCTCTAGCTCAGCCCGCAGCCCAGCGCCCAGCACTGCAGCACCATAGCTGCACCGCCAGGCTCGGCCTCAGCGGACATCGGCAAGGACAGCGCGGCCATTCAGGTATCAGAGAGAAAGGCTTCGCCTTTCCTCCCTCTTCCTTCTCTCTTCCTCCGCTCTCTCTCTCTCTCTCCCCTCCTGCCCTCAAGTCTAGTCTACTTCTTGGGTTACTACCAGTATGAGGGATGGTTACGAGTTCTGATGACATTGGAGATAGCAACATTGAGACTTCAGGTTGAGGACTACTTTTGGGATCTGACTTCATCTACCTCTGGAGATGTATCTTGGCATTGTGAGATGGATATCTGAGACACTGTGAGACTCTGTATTCGCGACATTTCGGATTTTTGCTAGTTCTGACATTTGGAGATACTATTTTTGGAGACATTGAGTTGACGTCATGTTCTCTCCCCTCCTCCCTTCGTCTCTCCTCCCCTCCATTCATCTGTGTATGGGATCAGCCCCTGGCCCTTTCTTCCATGTCCAAGGCCAGGGCTTCACCACCGATGCATGTTTGTGAGGGATTCGTTGCAGTCTGAGTCGGGTTTGAGTCAATCCATGTGTATCAAATCTTCCACTGTAATTGTATTTGCTCTGTATTATCTGGTCGGTTCTGGGATTCTGCGCCATACTTATGTCTGCGTTAACGGGTATGTAACAGGCAGGGTAGTCTAGGAGGCCGTGCTCACAGTCTGCCTCCACAGAATGCATCTTATAGCTAACGCGGTCACATTCTGAATGTTGTTTGTTTTCTTTTTTGTCCTTGTCGTGTGTTTCTTACGAGTCCCCTGCCAACAAGGCCGGGCGGAATCCGTGATCTGCTCAAGCTGTGTTTCGTCAGAGGATTGTAACGCTCATGACACTGGCTCTTAGGGGAATGTATCAATCCATTTTCATGGCTGGACCCGTGTGCCCATTTGTTTTTCCTTCTATTCTCTTTTTCGAATCTGACAACCTGGCCACGGGGCTGAGATGCCCTCACTTAGGGCGCACTCACACTACCACTTCCAAGAATGTATACAACTGCAATCACGGCCAAAGCTTAGTTTCCTTCCGCTAGAACCAGGGAAGATGCACCGCTGTAATTTTTGTCTTTTGTGCATATGGAGAGTAGTGGAGCGAAGCCCAATGTCTCCATGCTTACATTCTCTACTTGTGTCATCCCTTATTAGATATGATAATACAAATGATTTCCGCAACCCCAGGGAGCAGCTCAGGTAGCGCCTGTACCCCTGTGCAGTGCCCATCACCACCTCTGCACTCATTCCTCGAGACCTGCAGACACACAGCAGAGTACTTCCTTTCGAGGACTACCTGCTACGGCACCCACCTGTGATGTCTCGGAGAAGGATACGACTGGCTGGAGCACCAGGGCTCTGCTTGGCTGCTTCAATGGTCCGAGACTGGTGCAGCATGAGCATGCCACATGCGAAATTAGGTAAACTCGAGCTCTCACCGTCACTATCAGGTATAGTCGAGGGCTTCAGCAGAGAAGGTGGAGAAGAAAAAAGGGGAGGGAGTAGAAAAAAGGGAAGGGAGTAGGTTGAAAGCCTGACAAAGCAGTCGATCACAGCCTGCTGTTTACTGTCCTTTTTGGCGTTTTCGCCCTTTCTCCCTACGGCTCACCAGGCCGGTCTCTTTGACCATACATACTACATATAGCCGGTCTCTTTGACCATACATACTACATATAGCCGGTCTCTTTGACCATACATACTACATATAGCCGGTCTCTTTGACCATACATACTACATATATAAGTAAAATGCTTATCTGAATTTATTTCTTTATCAAATTAATTATTATTTTATTTTTTCAAACATTAGATGATTAAACTCGAAAAAGAGTGAGGCATATAGTTGTTGAGAGTCTGTTATCACGTAGAAGATAGAGGTATGGCAAGAGGAGAAAGAAGGTGACAAGGGTGATGGGGAGGCAGGCAATGTAGGTAGACGGCATGGAGAGAGCATCAACCTGATAAGCACACAGAATATGGGCCAGAGAGTATCCGTTTGATGAAAGAACATTAAAAAAAAAAAAAAAAAAAAAAAAAAAAAAACATAAGATGATCACAGAATAATAGAATACGGTGCTTGGCGAAAAAGCAGTCAGTCATCGAGTCACTTATGGACGGACCGGGATCGCTGCTGCTGGTCTAAAAAACTTTATAGTAGCCCATCACTTACAATGTTGGACCACTGTAGATGGTAGTCTGGTCTTCTATGGCCTTAGCGAGCAACAGAACAAAATCATCTGCTGCCGAACGAAGGCCTTGCCTTCGCATTTGCTTGTTTCTCAGAGATCCGTCAGCTCCAAGTATATACAGTGATTGGAGCAAACTTGTACTACCAAACCATTACCTCTGGCGTCTCTAATGTAGAGTCCATACATCACTAAGGTTTCGCACAGGAAAAGTGCTTCGAAGTGGCAAACAAAAGAAACACCACAGACATCCAATCAATAGACCTTCACAGCAAAAAGCAACTCTTTCCATTCACCATCTGTTGTAATAAACACTCTACTATTGTGTGACTGTAAGAATCTAAGTCTCGTTCATGGGCCTCGGTCCAACTACACACCATTCAAGGTATCTGGAGCTCCAGATCGTCCCAATACACTCCAAATGTTGGATTCCTCCAAACGCACCTGATCCAAAAAGACGTCCAAATGCATGTAGAGTGATGGGTACTGGCGCGAAGCCCTATGTCGACTATGCTACGCACAGCAAATACCTCCTAAAGACTCCACCAGATAGACCCGAAGTACCTCCTAATGACTCCCCTATGTCAGCTATATGATACACACAGAAAATACCTCCTAAGGACGCCACCAGATAGACCATAAATACCTCCTAACGACTCCCCTATGTCGGCTATGCTACACACAGCAAATACCCTCCTAAAGACTCCACCAGATACTCCACCAGATAGACCCTAAATACCTCCTAATGACTCTGCTAAATAGACCCAAATCCCTCCTAAGGACTCGGTCAAATAGACCCCAACAGTGTACCTCCTAAACACTCCACCAAATGGACTCCAACGATACGCAAACCAAATATCCAGGCCTGGGGTGCACACAGGAGGGCGCAGAACTGCTGCCTCCATTTCTCGCAAACTCACTAAATGCCATCATATTGTTCAATGGAAAATGACTTTTGATTCAAAAGAAGTCCAGGCTAGAGAGATGTGACAAGAATTTTGTCAATCAGATACATATCCCTCAACAGCACTTCATCATTGCGACAGAGCAAGCAGAAGGGGACACTTCATTTCGATGCCAAGAAATTTGGGACCCATAGATGCAACACAGGAAGTTGTAAAGGTGATCAAGGGTAGGGAGGGAGAGGAGAAACGCACCCCAAAAGAGCCTCTCTGAGCTCAGGAACTCGGTTCAAGCACTGCACTGTAGAATTCATATAGCACGTGTTGCCCAAGTTGATAAGACCTGCGGAGAACTCACTCTGTGCCACCAATATCATACACATAAGACCACAAGCAAACAACCCAATGATCAAATCGGTCATCCCATTGACAGTGTGTACTCACATCTCAACCCAACCACCTCAGAAGTTGCCCTTTACCACACACGGTTTTCGTCATTGCACTATTCAGACAGCGCACAACAAACAAACAGACTTGCAACATTTAAGAAAAAAACAAAAATAAAAGAGGAAAGGAAACAAATAGCTACCAAGAGTAGCTTGCTTGAAGTAGGTTACTTCATCCAGTAGCCTAGCTCAGTTTGTACGGCATGCAACTCGCATTCAGGAGGTCTTGGGTTCAATCCCCATTGGCCTCAGGTACCTTCCTGGGCAAGCTTGGCGCCCACCACCTAGAGATAGGTCGTTCGTCCTCCCGAGAGCAGAGACTTTGATGTTCATAGGGGGAGGGGACCGGAGGGGAGGCACAGTGACTGGCCCATTGAAGAAGCTCGGTCCTGATGCTACCGGCTGACCCCCAGCCAGTATCGCCCACCTGATGTAGCAGGTATCGCACCTGCTGGTGGGTGCAGCTCCCGCATGTTCCCTTGTTGGAGGCTTGAGCACGGATATGGCTGCTACGGGATTCCCTGTAACACCATAATGACAATGAAAAAAACAGCCCTAAAGACCACCCTCCAGATTCGACAGGTAACTGAATTGGTTGGGCTTAAAAGAATTGGCCTTTAAAAAAAGGTAGGTTACTTCGCGAGGGAGGGAGCACAAACGGAGCGGAAACAAAGGGAGGGAACGTAACGCGAGGGTAGGCAAAAGGAGGGAAAGGTAAACAGTGGGAAGGGGAATACACGGGGAGCGAAGGGAAAGAAGGCAAAGGGAGGGGAGGGGAGGGGAGGAGAGGGGAGGGGAGGGGAGGGGCAATGACAACCATAGTAGCGACTCTAGCGAGGGAACCATATAATTACTTTACCAAAATCCCACACATTGGAACCGCCTGCTAATACCCATCTTTCTGACGTTTCTAGCTTTTTGTTAACTTTTATTTTTCTTCTCGTAGAAGACACTCTTGCAGTTACCCTTAGCTGCTTGAATGACTTCGCGACATGCCATCTACACAATCAAAACATGTCTCAAGGGGGAGAGAAAGAAGCAGACTGTTCCAACTGTAGAAGACAAACCGGATGCCTCTGTAACCATCTCCAGACAGAACACAAATGGAACATTTTGATACAGACAACGAACAGAAGCAGCCTAGCAACAATACGAACCATTGATGCTCCTTCACGATCTTCCTCGGGCAAGTCTTCCACAAAGACTGGTCCTTGCTTTGGTGCCGACGGGATTTCCTCCGCCGTCCCCATCATCATCAACCTCTGACCCTGCATGAAGCAGTCCGATTCCCAAAACAACAGACTTCCTTCAGTTCCAATTCTCAAAGCTTCAGATCAGAAAAAGGGAAACACTTGGTGCTGACGGGATTTCCTCCACCGTCCCCCTCATCCTTCAACAATTGCGCATGTGTCAACAAAAAATGTGAATGCATCCTCTGTGTGTCAATCTCTCATCTGACCATTTACCCCACTTCACATCCTGAGAGCCACCATCACAACATCACAATGTCTTCACTACAACAATAGATAAGGAGAGAGAACACACACCAAGGCGATACCTGTGAAGTGCACCACGCGGGCGAATCGAAGAATTGCTTGTCAATTCATATCCCTATACTATTAAAAAATGTAGAGGGCCCGACGTGACGCTTCCCAGCGGGCCCAAGGAAATTCGGCGCCGCGCGAAACGTCGGGCCCACGTCGCGCGCTGGTCTTCTCGCTGTAAATGGGAGGGGCGCGTCGCGTCGGGCCCAGGCGGACCCGCTGCCGCGCACCGGGCTGAAAACGGAAGCGCGTACGGAAAACGGACGAAAGCGCAGCGCGTCGCGTCAGGCCCAGGCGGACTCGCTGCCGCGCGCCTCGCACTTGGAAGGGAGCAGACAAACGCAGTCGTTTCTTTTTTTTTTAATCCCTGCCTTTTGGGTGGTTTTCCGCATGCTACTATTCGGGCGCCGTCGAAGAGTGGGAGGAGGAGGTCGGAAGAGGGGGAGGAGGAGGTTGTGCAAGCGGGGGGAGGTCGGAAGAGGGGAAGGACGACATCACACAAGGGGGAGTAGGTAGGAAGAGAGATTGGAGGTGGCACGAGGGGGAGGAGGAGATCGCACAAGGAGGAAGGTCGCACAAGGAGGAGGTCGTGCGAGGGGAAGAGGACATTGGACAAGGGGGAGGAGGTCGGAATAGAGGTGGGAGGAGGTATGCGAGGTGGATGAGGAGGGGGAAGAGGACACGTGAGGGGGAGGAGGAGGTCGCACAAGGATTAGGAGTTCGCGAGGAGGGTCGCACGAGGGGGAGGACGGGGTCGCGCGAGGGGGAGGAGGAGGTCACGCAAGGGGGAGGAGAAGGTCGCACGGAGGTTGCATAAGGGGGAGGAGGAGATCGGAAGACGGAGTGGGAGGGGGAGAAGCAGTACGCACAAGGACAAGCAAGAGGTTGCACAAGGGGGAAGAGGAGGTGGCACAAGGGAGAGGAGGAAGAGGGGGAGGAGCAGGTCACACGAGGAGGACGAGAGGTTCCAGCGGAGGTCGGAAGGGAGGTTGGAGGAGGTCGCGCGAGTGGTGTGAGGAGGCCGGACGAGGACACATGAGCGAGAGGAGGAGGTGGTGTAAGCAGGAGGAGCTGGATGAGGTCGAAAGAGAGGTGTGAGAAGGTCGCGCGAGGGGGAGGAGGACGTCGTGCAAGGGGGAGGATTGGGTCGTGGGAGGGGTAGGAGCACGCTGGGGACGAGAAGTTGCAGGAGGTCATGCGGAAGGGGAAGGAGGAGGTCGTGCGAGCGGGAGGGGGTCATGAGGGAGGACGAGGACGTTGCGATAGGGGGAGGAGGTTGCACAAGGGGGCGCGCGCACACACACGAGAGAGAGAGAGAGAGAGAGGGAGAGAACTGGCATATCTTCCTCCAAATGTCGAGAAGATGCCGTTGGCCTTTTTTTTGGGGGGGGGGTAATTGGCCAAATACCCCCATAAGTTGGGATATATGTCAAAATGTCCCTGAAAATTGGGCGTTTTTTTTGCAATTGCACCCACAAAAAGTTGGCAACTACCGGGGCATTTTGCAAAGTTGGACGGTGTCTGGTAGGGTACATTGCAAAGATGGGGTCTAACCGATGTCTGGGGTGTTTTGCAAAATGTTTTTGCTGTCGCCCTTGACCGCAGCATAGCTGCGGGAGATCCACTTGTTCAGAACAGATTGACTCAATTCATTCTCGGTGAATAAATTAGAAATAACGCAGCCCGGATGGTAATGACGTTAGCAACAGCTGGGAAGGGATTTCATACCCCACTGTAGGATAACATGGGTCGGTATGAGCCCAATGGGGGACGAATCGGCGGCTGGGAACGAACATCATTCAGTGTTCCATGTTCCCGACTGTAATAATAAAGATTCGATCATCTTCCATCACAACAATCTTGTGCCTTGGTTTTTCCTCCACCTGACCAGGTACTTGGCTGACAGGTGTTACCAAATTAGGAAATAGCCACGAGGTTTTTTCATTCTTAAACCACCACTACTTTTCACAGGCAAACTTTTGTGATGAAGTTATGGTCCACTTTTGCACTATTCGGGTGCTTTTCCTCCCGGACGTCCTTGGCTGGCAGCGCTCACCAAAAAGGGAAAAAAATCAAGTGTCGCGTTTTGAAGTTGGCGCACAGCAGAAATCTGCCAGGAGGAAAAGAGGGTCAGAGGTAGTGTCGGCTTAAGCCGCACCTGCCCCCTTGCCACTTTCACAAAACCTGGGCTAGGCTATTTCTTGGGGTCCACCCCATGGTACCTAAGATCCGGCTTACAGACCTCTAGGGCATACACTCACAAACTTGCAAAGACCCCATAACTTGAGGAATCTAATGGACTCGAGAAGAAGAAGAATGAGATTACGAGAGAAGAAGAGTGAAGCAAAGAAGAAGAAGAAGAAGAAGAAGAAGAAGAAGAAGAAAGAAGAAGAAAAAGACGAAGACGAAGACGAACACAAGCTTGAACCAATCATCACCCTCCTTCTGTAGCCGCCCTCATCTCCCTCACAGATAATTGCCTCCTCTTCTTTGACTAAGAATGCATGAACAAGAACCAACGTCCAAATGATACCCCTCACTGCGAGCGCAGAAAGAGGTCTTTTTTAGCCCCCTTACACCCACCCATCCACGTGGCATGGCTACGAACGATGGCGGCTCATCCTCATCCATGCCTAGAACAGATGTTCAGAAGGACCCCGACCTAATACCATGCCTCTCCTCTCTACTACCATCATAGCTGCCATCCGGGTGATGTCTATGTCCGACCCGTACCCCTGCCGATCCCTTGTTGATGCAGCGCCACCCAGGAAGATGAACATCTACGTCCACCATAGCCAAAAGGCAAGTTTCCTTTTCAGCTGCCGCCTCCTTGTCGCCAAATCATTCGCTTGTGCAAAATTGTGTAGGCTGGAGCAAATTTAAGGTGTCATCTGGGAGCTTTAGTCCACCGCCTTCCCCCGAATACAATGCACCCTGATCAGATAGTTCTGTCCGATACAGTTATGATGAGGGTGCGTTAGGTCTGTCGTCTTCCCCTGAACATAATGCACTCCGAAAATGAACGTATACTTAGGTCTACCGTCTTCGCCCGAACATAACGCACCCCAAAAATGAATGTAAACGAGCTATCTTTCCGGTTTGGTACAGCCATAATCAGGTTGTGTTGCGTTCAGTGCAAGACAGTTGGGGTGGCATGAGAATTCCAAGTGGGGCCGTTTGAGATAAAAATGCGGAGAAATGCGCTGTGTTACTATTGAAATGAATAAGATAAATTTGGGTGTAAGTTCATTGGAACTACCGCTCTACACTCACATCATTGTTGCCCGGAAACAAAAGCCAATCGCATACTGTTATTGTTCCCTCGCTCTCAGCACTGTCAGCACACTTACCAGCAAGATACTCAGCACGGGGGGGGGAAGAGTAGAGGGGCAAGTTAGCAAATATAGCATACTTGTAAACAAATGTCTCATATTCTACTTCGTATACTGTTCGGTGCTGGGGGGGGGGAAGCAGAAGAAGGGGGGGGAGGGGGGATGCACAAGGAAGAGGGAGAGGGGTTCCTTCTTACCGATTTCACACCGAGTTTTGACCAGTCGCCCTCGTCCTGGAAAGCCAGATGTCAAACAAACAGGCAGTGAAAACACACATTAAGAATACTCTTCGTGCATGAACTGCACACAGATCCTTGACAGTCGTGTCTGTCTTGACAGCATAGGGAATAAATAGCATGCAGCTCGGCAAAAGAAGGGATAACAATCATTCCACATGAATCATATCGACGAGATACATATCGCATCGATCGCACTGCGAAGGCTAACAATTTCTTGCCCATGACACAACAGCAGGTCGTTTGTTGCACGGAATGATGTAACACCTGGCCTCCCCCTCATGGTCCACCTCCCCTTTCAACAAACTCGCACCCCCCCTCAGTTGAACTCATAACACGCATTTTGCCATTTACGCACACTGGCACTTTCTCAACTGAACTTGCTCAGAAAATTTGTAGGATACATCTACGAAAGTGCTTGTCTGAGTATGGCCCCAAAGGCCAAGCAAGTGTCAAGATGATTCATAGTAATTTCATGCCCAGTCCAATGCCAAAGCTAAGCCAAAGTTGAGTGGGAACCAACGGGCCTAGCTCAGTGGTGGTCCCCCCCATGAACTGTTGAAATATGAATCAGACCCAAGTTCGAGTCCAGATACAATCAGATGACCACCAGAATAAAATCGTTTTGAATTACCTGAGGTCAGTCAGTTCACTGATGTTATCTCAAGGCTGACACCCTTTTAAAATTAAAAAATAAAAATAAAAAAAGAGTAAGCAGCACGGAGTGAGGAGAATGGAGGGAGGACAGTTGAGTGAAGAGAGCAGCGACAAGGTCTGAAAGGGAAAGTCAAGTGACGGATCTCGAGGGGGAAAACTCCGAAAAAGTCGAGTGCAGAAAAACTTCAAAAAGAAAGAATCACTACCTCATTTACATAATACACAGCAGGCCACTCAATTGTAATAAAGTGCAAGGCACTGCCAAGTGAGCAAACCCGAGGGGAGAAAGCTGAAAGAGGACAGTCAAAGCGGCAACATTGGAGTGATCAAAATGGATGAAGCGGACCTCACATTCACACCATCAGCCTCTGCGATACACCCGGAAAAACGGACGAAAGAATGACTATGAAATAACGTTTCCTTTTAAACCACCAGTACCTTTCTGATATCTCAGCCACAGGCAGAAAAAAAGCCCCAAAATGGAAAACAGGACCGCCGATGCGATTTATCAACGGCAGCCCGATCCTGCTTGGCTTCCGCGTAGCGGTGAAAGGTACTGGTGGTTTAAGGAAAGAAAATATGTGCGCCCGGGTCGCCAAGGCTTTGTTTCATAAAACTGTTTCCGAGCATGACCCCTGGGGACAAGGGCAGAGCGGGGATCAAAAGACTTGATTTTCAAGCGGGGAAAGGTACTGGTGTTTTAAGGAAAGAAAAAATGTGCGCCCGAGCCGCCAAAGCTTGTTTTCGTGAAACTGTTTCCAGGCATGACCCCTGGGGACAAGGGCGGAGCCAGCACAAGGAGGGGGGGGGGGGGGGAATCAAAAGACTTGAGGAAAGAAATTTGTTGAGTAGAATTGCAATGCAAAGAACTTCTGGCTGACTGTCGCCTCAGAATTCCTTATGAAATCAAAACCCATTTGGATCCCCCCCCCCCCCCCTCCCCCTTACCGAACAACACAGGATAAAAAAGAGCCCAGATTTGGGTTGGCTGGGCAAGCACAGAAGGTGCCCACCTCCGAAAAAGACAAAACAGAAGTTACCACACTTTTAACCACACTTTTAACACACCCAGGTACCGACGCCCAGCTGGCCGGGAAAATTTTACCTACTGTCTTCGCCCTAATAGAACAGCCGGTCATTATAGCAGTATTTGGGGCAACTTTCAGTCTGGATACAGTGATAATTACCGGGCCTTCTATTCAGGTGACGACAGTAGGTTATTCTCACTTTTCTTGTCTTCTATTCCATTGAAACATGCATATAAAAAATATATATATATATATAAAATCAGAATAGGTAAACTACTAAACTTTGTAAGAGCATATACTTCTTCCTTCTTGTCTCTTTGAGGGAGAGGTCCAAGTTACCTGGACTTTTTATCCATGACCATCAACCTTTCGTAATGTACACCGCGCGGCCGAGGTCCCACTAGCAAAGAGGATGGGATTAAGCTCCTGAATCTGGACATGTTTTACGCAGAGATGCAGAAAACCAGTTCAATCCCGATTTTCGGCATCTTCCCAAAACCATGTCTATAGATTCAGTCATTCATGCAATCCAATCTTCTTTCCTCGTAGGACCTTCCCCCAAGGGCTCACCAACCTTTTAATTGTCATCCAACCTTTCATAAAAGCTTATCCCAATCTCCTCTGATCCGCTCCTCCTCGTGTTTACTTTCTCTCTTTTTTCACACTGATCTCTCAGCATCCATGTCCTTCGAAGCACAACTTCAGCTTTTTTATTGCCGGTGCTGTTGTGGTTGCCGTTTTTGGTAAACTGCCCAAAGAAAGTCGCACTCCGCACCTGATTAAGTAACCAAACATTTTTATTGCTGGTGCGAATATACACTGCAAACAATAACTGGATGGAGACAAGGGACAAGAGAGCCCTTTCAACCAACAATCGGCAAGTTCGGAATATCGAGTTTGCTACGGACTTATGGCTTTCCAAAAGTACACATAAAAATGAAAAAAGGAAAGAAAAAGGCAAATAAAACGAAAAAAAAGAAGCCGAGGAAGAAGAAGAAGACTACGGACCTGAAGGAGGCCACCCTTGACACTAATCTTTTGCCTCTCAGGAGGAACTCCGGTCAACGAATACAGCTGCATCTTGAACATTAATGGTGGCTGAGTTGTATCTATCTCCACGTCCCGCAGAAGCTCCTTCCCCCACTTTACATGAACTGTTTCACACGTTCAGGCACCATCCAAGGCAGGTTAAGAGAGAGAGAACACGCTCATGACAGGGCAGGGGCAGCAACCATCACAATAGCCAATCAGAAACCATCTATAACCCCAAAAACTCAAGATGCCAAAAGATGAAGCGCAAGGCATTCAACCCACCGGCTCCAAGGTAGGACAACTCCCTGGAATGGCAGATCCTCTCTCTCTCTCTCTCTCTCTCTCTCTCTCTCTCTCTCTGTTACAAATTATCACCACAACTTCCTCTATTCCGCCCAGATGAGTAGATCCAAAGTCACAGCAACTTTACCTATATTGCAGACAATGAAGCATGCTCGAGATGAGCCAATCCACCAATGAGACAGTTTTGCTTGTAAAGTCAATATCTATTCAGAACCTTACCTTTAAACAGGCAATGCAACAAGCTCGAGATAGGCCATCCCAACGGCAAAAAGAATACGAGACGCAGTACATTTGTTAGTATGCTACATCGTTTTCTTGATTATTTTTTCATCATCCAGCATTGGGAGGCCTCCCATGTTCTTTGTTTTTGCAGTTTCCCTCTTACTGTGCCTATCACGTACAAGGCTGGCCACGTTGATGATGGTTGAGCGCCAGCTGCCCATATCCCCGTGTGCCTTTACGGCCCACTTGCACGTTATAAAAGGAGGCAGAGTAAAGGGGTAATTATATTTTGTCTGTTCTCTCAACGACGCTCATTCATATGCAGTTACTCGTACACAAGGAGAGGGAGTAGACGACAGGGAGGAGGACAAGAGAAAATGAGAGAGAGAGAGAGATGTGTGTGTGTGTGTGTGCGTGTGTGTGTGTGTGTGTGTGTGTGTGTGTGTGTGTGTGTGCATGTATCACAGAAAATCCAACAAGGAACGTATACGCACTTCTCGGACAGACAGAACCCAACAAATTTGCAACTACATACATCCTAGGAAGTCCAAGTTGGGGTATGCACCAGTGCCTGAAACAGGCTCTTTTATAGGACTTGCACCATCTAACATAGTTGGACAGCATGAAATCAACCTGCAGCAGCTGCCTTGTGGAAGGGCCTCTTCAGAAGCCACCAGTTTGGTGGCCTGACTGCACATCCCAACATGTTATATGGATGTCGCTGGAACTAAACAGCACCCCACTTCCTTGACAGATGTGACTGGAGATAATGACCAGATTCGCTCACAAAGCGGATTTTCCGCTTGCTCTGTCGAACTCAACAAAATTTCACAACCAGGATGCTGCGCTGCATTGGAGGGTACACATACTTGGCAAGCGTGTGCGGCAGTGACACCCAATTTCTGCAATCGGGGGTCGGGATCTCATCCAATTTGTTACTCGTTGCCAAGTGGTGCAGTGAGCCCCCTATGTGCGATCCATGATGACTTTGTGATAGGCATTACCACCCCTATACCAATTGCTCAATACAAGTTCTCCTATATCACTTTGTTAGAGTCTATGTACGATCCACAGACTGACGCAGTTGACATAGGAGATCTTATATCGAGATTTCTAAGTATGCTGGAAGTAGAGCTCAACAAAGAAAAGACAAGAGTTATCACGTATTGTTTGTTCTGGATGGTTGTCCCAAGATACCCAAGCAATGCAGGCTGCCATCTTCCCCCCAATAGAACGTACTGTCATTATCACCTGTATATAGACTGAAAGTTGACCCAAATACAAGCACAATGACCGTACATGCCATTCAGGGGAAGACAGTAGAGGAACAACCTGCAGGAAGACATGCTGGGCACAGTGCATCAACTTGGACATCTCGAGGCCCGGCGCTTCGTGTGTGAGTGCACATTGCCTACGTTGCTGCGAAATTAACTGAATATCTGAAAACTGATAGACATTACCAGGAACAGACCAGGAACTTTGCCCAACATTGACTATAGAAGTTACCTGCATGGTGACTGGAAGTTATTCAGAAATTAACTATGGTTAACTGAAGGTTCACTACCTGTTCAGTGCAAGTTGCTTGCATGTGGAAGTTATTCAGAAATTAACTGTGGTTAACTGAAGGTTCACTACCTGTTCAGCGCAAGTTAGACCACCACTACCCCTGCCGTCCTAAATTCGTTTTTCCTGGCCTTACGGACTGGGTTCTTAGGGGGGCCGTCGACTGGCAGGCGCAGGCGGGTCCGGTCCAAAAATTTTAAGCGCAAACTTTGGCGATTTTTCACGCTCAGAAGAATTGCCGAAAATATCTGAAAATTTGAGATCCTGTAGATTAGGTTGTGGTCTTTCCAGGAAAAATATCAAAAAAATGAAAAAGAAAAAATTAGACCGTGAAATAAATGTTGCACCGTTCCGTCGCATTTTCCATTTTTGCCACTCTACCACGTCTGGGCCAACGGGAAAAGTACCCCAACTTTCACAATTTTCTGCGCTCAGAAGGATGACTCCACAACTCTGAAAATTTGAGGGTCCGCAGATTTTGTCGCGATCTTTATAGGAAAAATATTAAAAAATAATAATAAATCATTTTAACAGCAAAACAAATCGCGGGGGAAATTGAACGCATTTTCCAATTTTGCTGCTCCGCCAGTTCCCCCCACTGTGCTACCGGTAGTCCTCATGGACCTGTGCTACCAGTCCCTCCTAATTTATGACAGCGGGGGCAGTGGTGAGTTAACTGAAGGTTCACTAGATGTTCAGCGCAAGTTGCTTGCATGTTCAGTGCAAATTACCCGCCTGTTGACTGCAAGTTAACTGCAAGGTTACCTGCACATTGACTGGAAGTTATCCCGAATTTAACTGCAGTTAACTGGAGGTTCACTAGATGTTCAGCGCAACTTACCCGCATGTTGACTGGAAGTTATCCGGAAATTAACTGAAATTAACAGAAGTTTTTTACTGGGGGTTCACTAGCTGGAAGTTGACTGGAAATCAACAGGAATGCAACCACCGTTTTCACCCAAATAGAACGCCCGATCATTATCGCTGCATCTGGACCAAAAGTTGTGCCAAATACAGGTATAATGACCGGGCGTTCTATTCGGGTGAAGACAGTAGCACCAAAACTGGCTAGGAGTTCTCTGCAAATGCACTAAGAAGCGCCTCCAGGACATCTGTTAACATCGGAACAATATACAGAAAATTATCATAGCCCCTGCACAAAGGATGACACACATAAATTGAGAACTGGTCCATTTTTTTTCGCCGCACATCGAAAGGGGGTTGGGTTAATATCCCCTAACGGGGTTGGTGAGCTCCACAGATGCCGACGGGGGCCGTGGGGAGGGTTCTCTTTCCTTCTTGACAACCCACCCATCCTGGAATCGGATCAACCTGAGATAGGGTGCAGTTCACCTCTTTTTTTGAACAGGCACATGGCCTACCGGTATGTCAGTCTGGGGCCTGGCCTTGGTCCCAGAGTGGCAAAAAATGGAAATGTGCCGAATTGGGGCAGCGATTATTTGACGGGCAAAATGATTTTATTTTATTTTTCCTGATATTTCTCCTACAAAGATCACGACCTAATTCACGACCTAATCTACAGACCCCAAGGAAGTGTAGGGAAAAGGGGATTAAGAAAGGTAAGGGACAGAGTAGGGGTTTTGCTACCGTCTTCACCCGAATAGAACGCCCTGTCATTATAACTGTATTTGGGGCAACTTTCTAAAAGGATCCTTCCTACTGCGGAAATTAGCAACCGAGCTCGCGTCAAATAACTATTGCACCTGTGCGCCCTTACTTCAGCCCCCACGTCACTGTATCCTCACAACTTGTCACACGCACACTCACTGGATATCCCTGGATATCCCTGGATATCCCACGCGCACACACACTCTCGCTGTACACGAATACACACACACACTGAACTCAACTTCTAAGCTGCAGCGGCTATGGCCGCTCTACTACTTCTGGCTATGGACGAACTATCTTCCTTCAGCCCACTTCGACCTTGAGCATCTGCAGACCACCTTGCACAAGACGCACTGGCAGCGCTTCCGCATGGCTTGCAGCAGAATGAATGAGTTGCTGGACACTGCCTCTTGATTTGTACTTCTGTTGGCCGCAGCTCTGCCCCTTTCCACCAGGCCCTTGGTGCACACAGTCCCACACGGTACTTGCTTGACTGGACTGAGTGTGACTGGGACCGGTACCGCAGACTGCATGGGGTTGCACTGCCGACTCAACGCAGTTGGACTTACGAGTTGCCTACAGACCTCTACCCTAGCAGTTTCGACCTCTACACAGCTGCAATCCCTACTTGACAGATCTACAGATCGAATCCCTACAGCTACAGGAGCCTACAACAAAGCGAAGTCACTACTAAAACACAGGTCGCGGGCTCAAAACACACAGGGGTCTACTCGATACTGTACACGGGTGCAGGTAAGGTCTAGGGATCGAACCCTGGGATCTGCATCTGCTTCTGCAAAGGTGAAAACCGTTTCACCTTGCTTTTTCCCCCCAAAAATATATATATAAATCGTCACAAACAGAAATGGACCCTCGTATTTTTAGAATTTTCTTTGAATTCTTCTGAGCACGAAAAATCACAGAAGTTGCCGTACTACTTCTAGCCACGCATGGTAGTGCAATGACTTGCTGTTTCTGGTCGCCTGCTGGTCGCCTGTAGCCTCTCTCTGTCGAGGCTGTACCATAGGTAGGACAGATTCATAATTTTGTTTGGCTGAGGGCTAACCGAGTGACCTGCCTGTAAGGAAAATTTGTGAGGGACATATCTGTAAATACGGGAAAATACAGGCCCGTACTAACTGAATTTTCCAACAGCTATCCTAGCTGCGAATAGCAGACCCGGGCTACCCCTAGGACCGACAGGCCCTAAAGGGCTAAGCTGATAGACGGTCCTATAGCCTATAGCCCGGTTGTGAGAGCCGCTAGAGGCCGAAACAGAAACGGTACCGGTCGGTCAGTCAGTCCGGTCTAGGTCGAGTCTAGGCTAGAGTAGACTATAGATAGGTTGGGCACATCGGTTCAGGGCTTTTGGCAGTTGGTACCGAGTACATCGCTGCTGCGCTAC